ATAAATGTTCTGTTCATTTGATATGAGCATCAGTTACTAATGATCTGTTAGTCATTAATTAAGAACAAAAATTTCGATAATTAACGCGTTATAAGTAGATCGATATAACAGGCTCAATTTCCATTTCTTTAAATATATGTGGAATTATTTCGTTAATTAAAGCTTTATAAGAACTCAGTGTCATTTATATATAATTATGTCTGCTGATAATTTTTGTCGGTTTTTCGCGAATTAATAAGTATTAAAAGCAGATACGTTAAGATTACATATTCAGCTTTATAAGTCAGAGGCAGTACTTAGTTTTAATGAGGAAATATATTTTTGATATGTATTCATTTCCAGATCGCTAATATTTTTTTAAAAAAATTATCTCGTGAAAGCACAAAATAATGTAGTATATTATCTATTAAAAAACCAAATAAAAAAAGTAGTACTTTTTCTATTAAATTCACATTTAAGAAGCATATTATAGATATAAATATTTAAACGATGCATAATCCTTTTAAAAAAGCATATCTTTCGCATTCAGAGAATTCTTCCATGATATGATGGAGTTTATTGCAAAAGACGAGAAAGAGATTATAATCTACAAAATCTGATAACATTTTTGATACATGCAACTAAGAAGGAAAAGTCAATAAGGATAAACAATTCACAGCTTTCACAATCGCGATCTTGAAAAAATTAAGTTAAAAATATTTTAATTACAATTAACAATTCTCAAACTTCCTTTAAATTTTTACTAAATGTTAGTTTTAATGAGAACATTTTTCCGACCGATGAAAGACAGATTCGAGGGGGGTTATTAAAACTTTTTTTGAAAAACGGTTGTAGAAATTTTCGAATTTTTCCAATCGTTTTGATATGCCTGTTATATCGTTTTAAAATCTTATCGTAATAATTTCATACGAACACAGACGTATTGTTCCATTATTTTCTACGTTACCCGTACTGCAAGAATACGTTTATTAATCGCGATCCGGATATTTTGCAGACAAAACATAAACATGTGTTGAACGGGTTATTAAAATTATTAGTTTCCCTGAAATGTTCCTGATTCTTAAGAACAAATACGGGGGGGGTCAAGAAATGTGTAGCGGATTTTCTTTTTTATCCTTTTAAAGATCTTATATGTTACGTTTTTTTATTATTTATTTGTTGCATTGTTGTGTTTGCTCTAAAATTTTCTTGTACGAATGAAATCTTCGCTTTGTTTAAATGTGAAATAATATTTAAGTGTATACTCTCATTTCTGATTAGAACAACCAGATAATTGTTTATATTATAAGGTTAAAATATGAAATTCTCTTACTCAAATATAGCTTTTCACTAGTCAGTTTTTTATATGGATGAATAATTTTAAAAGAATTTTGACACGGTTATGCACCTTTTAACTACTTTTCGTATTATTGATGATTTAATTATTACCACATTGTATAGAAGCCTGTTTGTAGATTAATTAAATAATTAAAAGCGATAAAATGTGAGAGAAAGGTAATTCATTTTTTCCATTGGTTTCTTTAATTTTATGTAGAAATATGTTCTTCGTTGCTCTTATGCCCCAGGGCACGATAGCCTTAAGTGAAATGCGCGAGCATATCGGAAAGTCGAAAATAAAATATTAAAAAAAATATTAATTTACTGAAAGGAAGCAAAACAAGAATATCTGGCATAATAAAAAATAAAATACGCATTTAACCGACTTATATACTTATAAGTGTATCATATATTATTTCACAATGTATGGGATAATTAATTTATCAATACTAAATTAAGAGCAATTTTAATAATTACTAGTGACTCTCTCTCCCATAGGCTTGTCTTGCAGAGCAAAATTTTTTCAAAGGAAGACAGTTGCACAGACGTCCGATAGGTTGCCAGTAACCATGTATATAAGATAGAGAGCAACAGAGAGATTAGACTATTTTTCTATTGACACTTATACTAATAGAAATGGATGATTGATGTAATAAATACTTAATTTAATTAAAAATTATTTTGTAATCTATTCTAATTTAAAAATTAGAATGGAAAAGTAACATAATACTTAAAGGTAACTTACTTAAAATTCTATTACTTCAAAGAAACACGTATAAAATTTGATAATTCGTACGGCTTATAATTAAGGTCGTATTGTAACTTTAGCGTCAAAGAACATTGTTAATGTATGGGGGGAGGGGCGATGAAAATTCTGATCGAAAATTGAGTCATATGTATTGAAAGTTTGATAAGCATTGCTTTAAAGCAAGTATCGAAGGAAATTTTAATTCTGATATTAATCTATCGTAAATATATCTTGAAAATCGTTGGAAAATAAATATTGAAACCAATTATTCTCTATTTTCAATGCAGATTTTATTTAAAAGTTTAATTTATAGTTTATTTTTACCTTTTTAATCTTTTAAATATATTACCTTGCTTATAAAAACAATTTCATTTGCCCCTGTTCTTAAGTCATACTATTTTACCTGATGGCTATCACCTGTGTGTGATTTAAAGTTCTTAGATCTCATTTATTAAAATTTTAAATGTTCTCTACTTTGGTCCATTAATAATGCCTATTTTGCTTTCCACTTTTCTAAGAAAATAATTTTCTAATATTTGAAATTCACACTCTTTGACTTTAAACAAATGGTTTTTTCTTTAAAAGCATATTGTGATAATAACTGAAAACAATGCAGGGCATGTTGCCAAAATATAATAAGGGGATTACATCTATCTTAATTATTGATTTCAGTTTCTTAGTTTACACCAACGGTTCATCGCCGCGCAGCACTCCTCTCCCCCTTACGCATCAGCCTGACACCCCGGACTCCCCAAGATTTTGAACACCTCCCGACACATGGCTAAATGATGTAAAGATTTATTGCGAGCAATTTAGTAATCTTGTCTAGGATGACACATCTTTCAATTTTTCCTCGGAGCCTTTCAGTGTATAAAAGAGAGCAATCTTAATATTAAATGAGGGACCGCGGACCCCCTAGACAGCGCGGGGACTCCCGGAGGTCCGCGGACCACAGTTTATAAGAACCGCTGGTTTATACTGTTAAGTGATTCTGAAACTTTGTGGTAGGGGTAGCTGTCATGGACACGAATTTGTGGCTAGCGTTGCTTCTGTAGTGCCGTTAAAAACCCGCCGTGTAGAGGGGCTTATGTTCTCAAATCTGCCGGGACTCAGTCTTCACGTTGACGTAGTATGGGAATTTGGAGATTCAGATGTCAACTCAAGCGTCGTCCTCATCGTTTGACCGTAGCTCAAAATTACGAAATTCGTCACCTATATCCTTAGTTTTGCATTAGAGGACAACGTTAATAAACAAGCAATCAATCAGATTCTTGAATTAAAAAAGAGGCTAATTAAGGTTTAACTAGTGTTTTTATTAAACTAGAGTTCCTACTGTGAAATTAATTCCAAGTTCAGAAAGAATTTAAATTGGATTCTGCATTGTTGCTTTTTTCAAAAGTATCTCCATTAAAATAACCGGTCATTCAAGTTACCACGTTGTTAATTAGTACTGTCCAAAATTTTATATAACAATACAGCTGAACTCAAACATTAAAAAAAATAAGTTACAAATTCAAGTAAATGCACATAAAACTACAAGTTCCAAAAACGCATAGCAGTTGGGTAATATTAGTTACGTTTACCGGATATGTAGCGTATTTAATAATTTTCAAAAGAGACGGTTTAAAATTATGAAAACGTCACTTTCCCGTTTACATTACTTGCAGGTTATTCATTTGAAGGGGGTTATTTCATTTATATATATGTTTCTACCAGCAATGACGTAAGCAACAAACAGTAGTAATGACTTTTTCTTTATACTTTCTTTGCTGGTATGATCTTTCGAACTCAGACGCTGAACAATGTTTGTCACAGTAGTCTCATCATACTTTTCATCGAAGAATGACCCAGCATTTTTTCTTTTTTTTTCCCCATCTTAGGAGCGATCCATCTTAAATATAGAGGTTGTAATTAGATGGTAAATTTTCTTGCGCACAACACGCTTAACAGGAAGTAATGCGTTCCGGAAACTTCATTTCTTGTGTACAGTTTTATTAACTGGCTTTTGAAGATCGATTATTTTAGAATAACTTATCATTATAATCTTTTTTTTTTGTAAAATTAATTCCTGCATTGTTGAATAATACTGATTATTTAAAAATATGATTTATTTCTCTTGTTAAAAGGCTTGCTTATCCAGAAAATAACAATTACTTTCTATCAGTGATGTAAATAATTACTAATATTAATGTAAATAATTTATTTATATATATATATATATATATATATATATATATATATATATATATATATATATATATATAACCTTCCGTTTTATAATTTCAAAATATTTTAACCTTTTCTTCCTATATTTGTACATATTTATCCGAACCTGCTTATTATGTTTACCTAAAAGCTATCGATTTAACTTGCAGTTAAATGTAATGTTTAAAAGGGATTTATTCAATATTCCTACTATTAGTTCACACTCTTCCTATATATATATATATATCAGTGGCGCACACAAGGGGAGGTCCTGGGGATCCGGACCCCCCCCCAAAGTCCTTGATTTTTTTTTCCGATTGATTATAATTATAAGTATATAGAACGTAAAATTTATTTAATTACTTGTTATTAATGATTAATTTATTAATGAATGCTGATTATTTATTAAAAAATTAGTTTTTACTTAGTTTTGTTCCTGAAAATCGACAAAATCAAAAGGAGTATGATACAAGAATGGTGAACTTTCGACCCCGGACCCCCCTTGAAAAATTCCCGTGTGCGCTACTGATATATATATCTTCAAATTTTCAATCGTTAATAAAATACTTTTATTCATCCACTCAAGTTCAAATGCATTTTTAAACTTGTAGTGGATGACACTTGATGTTAATACAGTTTTTTCAAATATTAATTCTATTTAATTAATGAATAAATATTAAACAGAAATAATTGTTCAACACCATATATAAAAAGGTAAATCGCCCGTTGTATCCTTGTAGTGCAGTGGATAGCGCGTTGGACTTCTAATCCAATGGTCGTGGGTTGGAATCCCGCTTGGGATGACTTAATTTCTGAGAATGTGTTTTCTTTTTTACTATACTATTTTATTGGAATAATTAAATTTAATTAATGAATAAATAGTAGCAAAAACAAAATAATTGTCCAACACCATATATTGGAAGGAAATGGAAAATTGATTTCGATTTTGCCACTTAATATTGTGATTCTGTCTTAAGTGTATTCTTATTTAGATTAATTCTAATTATTTAATAAAAAGTAGCTAAAACAAATTTTTTTCGTTTTTCCCCTAAGTAGGAATTGACTTAATTTTTTTTTATATATATTACTCTCTTGTTTTAAATTTAAAATGCTTAGAAATTTTTGGTTGTGTATATTTTTTACGTTTCTGATTTTTCTCATCTGCGTTTGAAACATTTTAGTGCAGGATTTGAAATTTAATCTCTTCGAGTTTTTTTTTAGTTTGTTAAGTTTATCTTTTTTTAAAAAAATTGTTGAAAGACTTTTTTAATCTATGTTTTTCTTTTAATGTTGTTAAGTTTTGTGTATCCCATGACCCATTTTCGATGAAGCAACATTTAACATGTTTAGTATATCTAAACAATATATATATCTTATCATTTTCCGAATATAGTTTAGAAAAGAACTGATAACACTACTTGTTACATTTAGTTCTTCATACTTCGGGTAATCTACTTCTTGAATTACTACAACTTAAAAATTTGAAAATTGGATTAATGCATGGTTTTTTTTATTGATGCGACTTATATCGGGAGCTTCTAGTTTTTATAAAATAGAAGGTAAATCTTTATAAGAGAGAGAGAGAGAATGTGGGAATTTTTTCTGGGATTCACTGATATATAACAACGATATATATATATTTTTTTATTCAATTATTATCTTCTGAAAGCATTGAAGTTTAAAAATTCAGTTATTTCACATTTCGTTTATTGATAGGGTTCCATTGTCTTTGAATTTTCTTTGTCATACACTAGCCCTTTTTAATCGTGATAAAAATTGTTAACATTTGTTGTATTTTTTGATAATATTTCATACATTTTGTGTTCATACTATATTTTCTCTTTATGAATTTTTTATTGAGTTGTAAAATTTAACAGTTCATCTTTGTGGAATCTTTTCTGAATTTTTAAAATTGCCATTGCTCATGTTCTCAGTTATGATGCAACGGTAAACAATTTTAATAATTGGAAATTTTCAGGCTTTTTTTTTTCTAAAAACGTTGAAATGAAAAGTTTCGGTAATTTTGTTTTATCTCAATAATAATTGCTTGCTCTAAATAAATGCTTTTACTAGAAACTTCAAAGTATGATTTTTAAAAACATCCTAATAGCTCTCTTATTTCTATACGAAAACCTCATATAAATGATGATAGTAATTACCTATGGTTGCGGACATAAAATTTCCTCGTGCCTTTTAGCAGGACATGTTACTCAACAGGTTGGTTGTCTGATTATAAAGGGTGTTTTTTTTAGAGGTATAGAACTTTAAATTGCAATAAAACAACGATGTATTATTCGATTGACATGAATTTTTTTATTCGAAAGATAATCTTGTGGCATTACATTTTAAATATGATTTCTGGCATAGGACTGCCACGGCTGGCTCGGATGTAGTCCAATCTGGACGTCCAATTTTCGATGACTTTTTCCAACATTTGTGGCCGTATATCGGCAATAACCCGGCGAATGTTGTCTTCCAAATGGTCAAGCATTTGTGGCTTATCCGCATAGACCAATGACTTTACATAGCCCCACAGAAAATAGTCTAGCGGTGTTAAATCACAAGATCTTGGAGGCCAATTCACAGGTCCAAAACGTGAAATTAGGCTGTCACCAAACGTGTCTTTCAATAAATCGATTGTGGCACGAGCTGTGTGACATGTTGCGCCGTCTTGTTGGAACCACAGCTCCTGGACATCATGATTGTTGAATTCAGGAATGAAAAAGTTAGTAATCATGGCTCTATACCGATCACCATTGACTGTAACGTTGTGGCCTTCATCGTTTTTGAAGAAGGATTCCACCAGCCCATAAAGCGCACCAAACAGTCAGTTTTTCTGGATGTAACGGTGTTTCGACATACACTTGTGGATTAGCTTCACTCCAAATGCGGCAGTTTTGTTTGTTGACGTAGCCATTCAACCAGAAGTGCGCTTCATCGCTAAACAAAATTCGCTTATGAAAATCGACCATTATTTTCGAAATAAAATTGCACAATTTGAAAGCGTTGTTCAGGCGTGAGTCTATTCATGATGAATTGCCAAACCAAACTGAGAATAAATCACTTGACAGCTGTTAAATCGGTCGCCATCTTGGAAAGTAATGCCAACTTAAACTTCTATACCTGGAAAAAAAACACTCTGTATATTACTGTGACATTTCAGAGCAACACTATGGCTATTAGCAAATGACTTCTTAATTTTGTACAATGGTCAAGTGGTGATGTTGACATCTGAATCGGCAATTCGTTCTCCAAAATTCCACATCACGCCAAAGTGAAAAATTTCAGCCTCGACAGGTTTAACGTGCATTAGTCCTACACTGCGGGTCTTTTCTGGCACCAGATCTAGACCTCAAGAGTCGACAAAAATGATGCTGGCCACGAGTTTCGTGACCACGACCACTCATTACTTAACAGTATCGTAATATTAACTATTTCATATTACTGAAGTAATTGACTAATTACTTGAAATAATTGACTTCTAATTAATATAATTTATTCAAATCTTTAGTAAAATTTTTCGTTGTATTATCTTAATTAACCTATTGCCAACTGGTTTCCGCGGCCACGGTAGCCGAGGGGTATAGGTACCGGACCGTGGCTTGCTTTGTCACGGGTTCGAGCCCAGTACTACTAAAGACCCGCCGTGTAGGGCAGCGATGCACGTTAAATCTGTCTAGAGCTGAAACGTCCTCCCGTTCGTGTGGTGTGGTAGTTAGGAGAGGAGGTGCCTGCTCAGGTGTCGTCTACGTCACTTGACCATGGTTCAAAATTACGTGGTCCGTCACCAAAAGCCCTCGTGTAGCTGAACAGTGCGACGTTAATATTCAATCAATCAATCAAAGCCAACTGGCTTCCCAATTTTTTAGGCTGTTTTCGCCGTATGTACGAGAGCGTGAACGTGGCGCGGAGCACTTTTTTGGAGAGAAAAAATGTCTCAATTTTTAAAAAAATTTGTGACAATGTAACTCATGCGGTTGTTTGTAATATAGTGTTTTTAAAATTTCAAAATATTTCGTAAATAATTAGTTTTTCCTTTTAATATGTAAAGGGGTAGCTCATTTAGCATTATGGTATAGGAAAAAAATTACGAAACACATTTTGTAATAGAAAAATGCGTCAACTCGCATAAAAATGAGTAGTATGATAAAATGAGTGATTCTCTACGGGATAGTGAAGTCAGAATATAATATTAATGTTTGAGTACTTAAATATCTGAAAAAATATTCTGAATTTGGTCTATTCTTTAACATTAGCCGAAGATAGCCTTAAACAAAGCTATTCTATAAGCTCGAAATTTCCCAATTACAATAAAATCATTTTCAGATGAAACACGGCAGCATTAATATAATATTTCTGATAAAATTCAATACATTTCTTTACTATGCTTTAATCAGTCTTCTTTTGAGGACAGATATATCATTTAATCAAGATATTTGTCGCAACACAGGAACGGTAAATTGCAGAAAACGGAACACCTACAATTTACAAATTAAAACTTCCAAATCAAAACACGGCAGTTTAAAGAGTCGAAATGACGGAGAGTTGCATTTTAAATATAAAGACGGAAAAGGAAAAGAAGAGAAAAGAAAAGAAAAAGAAGAGAAGAAAGTGAGAGAAAAATTCAGTGAAGGGGGGAAAAAACGGAACAAATTCCGCTGCCGTTTTAACGAGAAGATACTTCCTCCACTTTTCCGAAAGTGTTTTTTCCCGAAAAAAAGGGTGTTTCTTTTGCGGAAAAAAAGAAGACGAGTTCTCTCACCTGTAAGAAAAGGCTGGTTGTCATTACTCGCGAAGTAATTAATCTTTCACTATATTAACAGGCCTTAAAACCTGTCTGGGCCGAAGAGAAGAAGACGCCGTTTGAGTCTCATGGTGGGAAACCTTGTATTTATTTATTCTCATCCTACCATCTCTGGGAACTGGTCAAAAGAGAAGCAACTGCAGCAACAACAACAAAATGAGAAAAAAAAGGGTTTAAAAGCCATGGGCTCAAAATGGCCGAACTTTGCAAAGTGTGTGACAAGCTTAATAACATCAGTTAAAGGAGGGGAGGCACTCCCAATCACAAGAAGGGGAAGGAATTTTAGCAGAACAACCTCTTTTTTTGTCTGTTGTGTGTTGGGTATTTTATCTTCTTTAGTTTTTTGTACTCTTCCTTCTTCATACTTACACGCATCTTGTGTTTCTGGTGGTGTGTGCTCGCAGTTTCCTGTAAGATATATGTTGGATACATTAAGGGAAGAGAATTATTTTAATCAGCAGTGTTTTTAACCGGAACAAGCGGGTTCTGAAACAAAAAAAAATAAATCATCGCTCTCTTCTGGCAGTATTAAAGGTTATTGGACCTTTATTAAATAGCAAAGAGGTTTCTCTTGGTGAAGAGGAGTTTAACTTTGGGCAGCCATTTGTCCATATATTATCGATCATTACTGCTTTTCTTTTTTTATCTATCTAAGAACGTATCGTATGTCATTAAAGATGCTGCGAAATGTTCTGTTTTTTAAATCATTTCGATGGAATACCAGTGGATGCGTAGTTGTATTTTAAAGCTATAACGTTTCTATTTTTAATTTGTTAATAATGATAATATAATAATAAAACTATTTCCTGAGAATGAAAGTTTATCTCGTGTGTAATATTATTGTGAAGATGTCTTTTTCTTAACTCTATGCGCTCACATATCATAATTTAAAAAAAAAAAAAAAAAAAGAACTACTTTTGCTTTTATACTTCTTTTCCGAAAAAATTCCTGGAAGGATAATTATTTTAATGATCAAACCAGGTTAAATAAGATTGTATT